GCTTAATCTGCTACTAGTTTCTCCATTGTCAAGTTGAAAGGTCCCAGTAGAGTCTGCCTCCTATTGAGCTCTCTATCTTGACATGTTATACTTAACAATTTCACGATGCAATAGCCATCCAAATTCACAGCACTTATGTTTGATACAGATGTGAAACTCCTACCTTAAAACTGTTTCTATTTTGTTCTGCTGGCTTGTAATACTGCATCATGTTTTATATCCTAATTATGAATAGCACCATGATGAATTTTAGATGAGGTTACACAAAATTAATTTATGGTTCAGCCATTTTCCACGAAAGCTGTTATTAGTAGAAAGTCAAATGCAAAACATGTAAATAAGCCATAATCAAGCCAACCATAATATGCTTCTGAAATGACAGGATAAGGCTCTAGACAAAATCAAAAACCATTTTGCTTAGCATCATTTTGGTGTTTCTTTTAATTTTTGTTTCTAGAAATTAATTTTATATTCACACAGCCAAAGTTTTCAAAATTAAATTATGAGGTACAGAAACATAAAACCGAAGGAATATTTATTCCATCAAACTCAGTAATAAACATAGAATACTTGAGAAACTCAGCGAGTCTGGCAGCATCTGTAAAGAGAGAAATAGAGAGAGAAAAACAGCATTAACATTTCGAGTCTTGTATCAATCTTCTTCAGAACCGAATAGAATTGAACAGAATATTAATTTCTACTTTCTACCTGTTTTCTTTTATATTCTTATGTGACCTGTGTATGTCCTCACAAATTTATGCAGTGCCTCACATTGCAAAGGAAGACAAGAACAGAAAGTTAATTCACTCAAGATTTCTATAACACAAAAAGGAAGCTCAGCGATTTGATATTTTAAATAAATGCGCAACCCAGAGATTGAGAGGGCACAAACCTCCACATTTTTAATTTGCAAATCCAGCTGCATTACCAGAAACCAGCACTTTATGACAGGAAGAAAGGGAAAAATGAAAAGGACAAGCTAATACTGGTTAGTTATAATGAAATCCAAAGGCCAACAGTAGTCATGGTGAAGTTCTGCTGAAGTCTCTGATGCAAGGTCCAAGCCTTCAATTGTCCCTGGGTTCACTAAAATTTTGTGTGGTTTTCTTAACATTCTTCTTCTAAGGTGGTCCCTTGAGAACATGGATGTCTTGCTTCCATTCAGGTTTGATGTGTTCTGAGATGACTAATAAGTCCAATGCGTGATCTGTGGACTCTGACATGCAGAACAGATGATGCTTGAAAGGTTGGATGAATGGGTTGCTTGGAACTCAGTGCAACCACTTTGTCTCCACTTCTGTCCCCAACAAAGTGCCTTGGTATATTTGGTGCTTTATCAAATGAGCCTTCTCTATCTTAGAATGTTACAAGCCAGAATCACCTGTCAGTTGGAAGGGTGTTTGATCTCTTCAGCAATGCTGTGAGGATATCCCTGAGGAAAGTTCCACTGCCCACCTTGGACCAGTCCACGTACCACAACCAAGATCTGAGTAGGGCATTTATTTAGGCAACTGGCCCTGGCAACTTTCCGGCAATAGTACTGAAGACCTGTGCTCCAGAACTTGCCACTCCCCTAGCCAAGCTGTTCCAGTGCAGTTACAACACTGGCATCTACCCAGCAATGTGGAAAATTGCCCAAGTATGTCCTGTACACAAAAAGCAGGACAAATCCAACCCAACTAATGACCCCCCACCATCAGTCTACTCTGGATCATCAGTAAAATGACAGAAGGTGTCAGCAACAGTGCTATCAAGCAGCAATAACCTGCTCAGTGACGCCCAGGTTGGGTTCCACCAGGGCCACTCAGCTCCTGATCTCTTTACAGCCTTGTTTCAAAAATAGACAAAAGAGCTGAATTCCAGAGGTGAGGTAAGAGTGACAGCCCTTGATATCAAGGCTGCATTCAACCATGTGTGGCATCAAGGAGCACTAGCAAAACTGGAATCAATGGGTATCAGGGGGCACACTCTCTGGTGGTTGGAGTCATATCTTACACATAGGAAAATGATTGTGATTGTTGGTGGTCAATCATCTCAGCTCTAGGACATCTCTGCAGGAGTTCCTCAGGGTAGTGTCCTAGGCCCAACCATCTTCAGCTGCTTCATCAATGACCTTCCTTCCATCATAAGGTCAGAATTGGGGATGTTCGCCAATGATTGCACAATGTTCAGCACCATTCGTGACTCCTCAGATACTGAAGCAGACCATGTTCAAATGCAACAAGATCTGGACAATATCCAGGCTTGGGCTGACAAGTGGCAAGTTACATTTACGCCACACAAATGCCAGGCTATGACCATCACCAATAAGGGACAACCTAACCACCGTCCCGTGACATTCAGTGGTGTTACATCACTGAATTCCCTACTATCAACATCCTTTGGGTAACCGTTGACCAGAAACTCAACTGGACTCACCACATTATCAAAGTGACTACAAGAGCAGGCCAGAAGCTAGGTATACTGTGGCGAGTAACTCACCTCCTGACTCCTCAAAGGCTGTCCACCATCTACAAGGCACAAGTCAGGAATGTAATGGAATACTCCTCACTTGCCTGGAAGAGTGCAACCCCAACAACACTCAAGAGGCTTGATACCATCCAGGACATAGCAGCCTGCTTGACTGGCACTATACCTACAAGCATTCACTCCCTCCACCACTGACGCTCAGTAGCAGCAGTGTGTACTATCTACAAGATGCACTGCAGAAATTCACCAAAGATCCTCAGACAGCACCTTCCAAACCCACAACCACTTCCATCTAGAAGGGCAAGGACATCAGATATATGGGAACACCACCACCTCCAAGTTCCCCTCCAAGTCACTCACTATCCTGACTTGGAAATATATCGCCATTCCTTCATTGTCGCTGGGTCAAAATCCTGGAATTCCCTCCCTGACAGCATTGAGGGTCAACCCACAGCAGGTGGACTGCAGCAATTCAAGAAGGCAGCTCACCACCATCTTCTCAAGGGCAACTAGGCACGGGTAAGAAATGCTGGCCAGCCAGCGACACCCACATCCCACAAATGAATAGAAAAAAAAAGTCTGGTATTAGGCATGTGAACTAGCCATGACATAAATGAATGACAGAGCAGGCTTGATGGGCCAAGTGGCCTGCTCTTGTTTCTTATTTATATGTATATGTCTCACCCAGCATCATTGGTCTTGCAATGATTAGTGCCTCTACACTGGGCAACTTTGCTTGGGAATTTTAATAGTGATTGTGCTTTCACAATATCTGGCACAAATCTGAAACGTTTCTTGAAATCTTATGAAATTGGCCCTGGTTAGGATTGTGTGCTGAGCTCACAAGCTAATGAGTGAATTGTCCTAATGGATCTTGCAGTAGAAAAATATTTTAATGAGAAATTATAACAAGCTGATCACAATAATTGTATGAGCTGATACCAGCCAATTCAGCACAACCTTTGTTTTCAAAAACAAAATGACTAAAACAATGTTATAACGCACTTTAGTCGCTCTCTCTCTATCAGGTCAGATAATCTCATTATAGAATCACAGAATCCCTACAGTGGAGAAGCAGGCCATTCGGCCCATCAAGCCCACACCAAACACCATCCCACCCAGACCCAGCCCCCTACCCAATCCCCAAAAGCCCTATATTAACCATGGCTAACCTCACCTAACCTGGACAATATGGGCAATATAGCATGGCCAGTCCACCTAAGCTGCACATCTTTCGACTGTGGAAGGAAACTGGAGCACCTGGAGGAAACCCACGCAGAACATGCAAACTCCACTCAGTCACCCAAGGGTGGAACTGAAGCTGGGTCCCCGGTGCTGTGGCGCAGCAGTGCTAACCACTGAGCCAGGTTGCCATCCCCCTGTTATATCAATAACATTTATCACTTGTAAGCTGTGAAGCATCTCTCAAGTGTAATATTTTGTAGCTCCTGAATATCCCCGTGGCTTCCACCATGGATATTTTTGTTTCTTTCACATCCATTCTGATTTTTGCTATAATCCCAGCTGATAATTTTACTGAACAAATCATATCCCAGAATGAAATCTGGCTCGATAGATCATATAATTTCTGTTATTTAACATGGTGGTCATTCACTGAAATAAGAACACACAGGTTGTAGATTTTCCTTAACAATCAAACAAAACTTTATTACACAAAAGTAAAAAGTTATAAATTAAACTATCTTAATATACAGCTCATTTTGAAAGATCTTAAAACACACAGAAAAACAATGTTTCTATTCCCCTACACTATCACTTTACAGCTATTCAAATCCAGAAAAATTATCACTCCATATCGAATCTTTAAGTTTGACTTAACTGCTTCTCACCTGTTGTTTTCTGTCATGAAGTCTTCTAACATGAATAATGACAAAACTGAAAGCTTAGACTTTGTCAGTAGTTTCCCAATCCACGGATTTCTAACCAAATACTCTTGGTCTGGAAATTTTACATGCTTAATTTTTACATCTGAACTGTCCTATATTCTTTTTTAGGAAATAAACTATATTTGCTTCTGACCCCAGTCAGGTCTCCTCCAAAGCTATCTAAAAAGCTTTGATTGTCTGGGTTTTGCTAAGCAATCTTGATCATTCTAAAGCAAAATCAAGCCAATGCCTTTAATGTTTACCCTCTCTACAGCAAACCCCACAATATCAACAATCTTCCATTAACTCTCCATCAGTTTTATGTCACCTGCTCTCTGATATACTGCATTAGATCACTGGTCTGGAAAGGACTTTCTGACTTTGTTCTTTTTTAAACCCTTCACAAAAGTAATCCACACCCATTTGCCACTAGTTTAAAATCCAAATTCCAGAAGTGATAATATATACTATATTTCTATAAAATAAATACGTCTAAACAAAAATCAAACACAATTCATTGTACTTACACAATGCATAGGAAAATCAGTGGTACATTCAGCCCATGAGCGTGTGCCATCATTTAATGAGATCACAGCTATTCATTTACCCCTGATGAAATGAATGGGCAATGAGTCCTGAACTCACCACAATAGCACAACTGAATCTGGAGTGCATATATAAAATCCACGAATGACATCGGGCAGTCCATCGCATCATCCATTAGAACAATCCTGCAACAAGTCAAAATAATTAAAGAGAGATTGAGATATTCCTAAATTCACAAGATGAACAACATAATTATATTAGAACTGGTGGTTCAAGAAATAACTTTTTGAAACTGTTCACTATTTAAATTAACCTTCTTGCCAAAACATATTAAACCAGTGTGATTTTTATTAATTAGCCAATTCATTTTAATGCTAAATCAGTAAACAGAACAAGTAATATTATTAAAACCCTATTAAATGAGATGCAAAATCCAACTAGTCTAATCAACCATATCATGTCAAGCAACATTGAAACTAAAATAGCTTATTTTTATTAATAATTAATATATATTCATGAGACTGCTAAATAATTAAAAGTGTGTATCGGAATGTAATAAATAATTTATTTCAGCAGCAAAGTGAAAACCTGAGAAGTTAAGTTTGTTAAAATTACTTGTCAAACAGGTTTAACAGCTGATACTGTACACTGGAAAGTGCAGCATTTTTATAATGGTCCAGATCGTCTGATTAGTGATAAGGCTGAACAAACTCGGCTGACCGCGATCTAAATTACTCCTTCCCTTTTTACACTTTTTATGGTCTTCCTGCCTCAGCTGCAGGGCGCAGTCACAATCAGACAACAACATGAGGGAGGTGATGGTACAGTTGTAATGTCGCTGGACTAGTAATCCAGGTCCTGGGGATAGTGGGTCAAATCCCACCATGGCAGATGGTGAAATCTGAATCGATAAGGAAAGAAACGGGAATCAAAAGCTACCCTAACAGTGTTGTAAAAACCCATCTGTTTTACTAATGCCCTTAATGCGGGAAATCTGCCATCCTTGTGTGGCCAACAAATGACTCTAGACTCACAGTATTGTGGTTGACTCTTAACTGCCATCGGGGAAGTTATGGATGGGCAATAAATGCTGGCCTAGCCAGAGACAACCACGTCCCATAAATAATTTCAAAGCAAGCGTGGCAAGGTGTAGAAGTGCGAAGAACACGAGCTTCTTTGATGTCAGCATTGGAAGGTATAAGATTGACCCTGGATATTAAGCAGCCTTGTAGTATTGTGGGACTGAGTCAGATTGGGGGAGGGGTGGCTGTCCATTGATTATTTAATGGGCCCATTGGTGATTAAATGTTGGAGGCAGGATATCTATCTTTAAGGACATGAAGGTCCATCTCAGCCAGCTGCTGACTAAGCAGAGACTGGCAGTTCCCATTGTGCTGCAAGGATTAGCGAGAGAGGTGGCCGCTGTTCGTACTGCTCTCAGGTGAAGGGGATGGATTGTAGTGTTTCAGGTTGTGCTGGGATCTTTGAGGCCTTGGGCAGGAGAAGGCAATCTTGGATAGTTACACCTTGCAGGGGGATTTCCAAAATAAGGAGATGGTTAAAGAGGGTGCCATCTGGACCATCACCAATGTGAGCAGATTTGGACTTCAGATTTTTAGCTTTAAGATTTAGATTGCTTAATCTAGTCACTTATAGTGGTGCTTTATAAACGTAGGTATTTTGTGAGTCTAACAAAGTCAATGAAATCATTTTGTGCTGCCACACCAACAATTTCAGAACAATTTCACAACCCTGAAGAACAAGACAAATGTTAAAATAGAAGCGACTCAATTATACTGTAATTGAAGAATAAATAATTAGGAATACAAGAACAGGATGAGGCCATTCAGCCCCACAAACTCACGCTGCCTTTGAATGAGATCGTGGCTGATCCATGCACCTGAACACCCCAAGTCCCTTTGGACATCCAATATGTAGTTAAAGGCTGATTTTATTGTGTTTTCTTTTTACTAATTACAGTAACATGTATTTTATAAATCTATTGTTAAAGCAAACTGTGATAAAGCCATGAGCAGATCACACTCCATACTGGGGTCTTACTAGTGTGTAGCCCTTGTGGTCCAAACTCAGGAACACTGATGAATCAGGGCTTATTCCTGTTGTAGATCAAATGTGGAAAAGATTCAATCAAATTGACTATCATCATTTGGTGAGTAAATTAGACGCAAGTCATACCTTTTAATTGTGGGATTATTCAAAGATTGAATATAAAATAAGCACCATCTTTTTGAGTTCTTCAACTATCCCGTGGTAGTCAAAGTGTACTCCTGCCTCAGGCTGGGATTTAGATTGATCCAAGTGTGGACAGTTTTTGGGGACAATTCTCAGAGATCTCTGTCAGTGCAAAAACTGGAGGAGTTCTGTCACAGTCATAGAATCATACAACACGGAAACAGATCCTTCGGTCCCACCAGTCAATGCCGACTGTAATCTCAAACTAAATTAGTCCCATCTGCCTACGCTTGGCCCATTTCCCTCCAAACATGTCTTATTCATGTACTTATGCAAATGCCTTTTACATTTATAAATGTACCTGCATCCACCACTTCCTCTGGAAGTTCATTCCAAGCACAACCTATTCTCTGTTAAAAAAAAAGCTGCCTCTTGTGTCCTTTTTAAACCACTCTCCTCTCACCTTAAGAACATGCCCCCTAGTCTTGAAATCCCCTACCTGTGCGTTAACCAGATTTTGGATATCCAGCTTGACATTTGTCCTGTATTTCTGACACGTAAATCTTGCAGATGGAATTTTTTTTTGGCTAAGTGCGACTCGCGTTGAGTTTGGAGAAGTGATTCTTGGCTCAAGTGAGTAAATTCTCTCACCAAAGCTGCCACATTAATCAGCCTTTCAGTCCTCATGATATCATGTTCAATTTCCACCCCAACTTGCCATTCGTGGAGCAACTCACCAGTTGGAGATTCCCATTTTGTCTGGAATCCCCGCGGCTTTGCCACATCTGAAACACCATGAGTCTCGAAGCACAGTTCTTGATATTTGCTGTGGACATGGCAGATAGGGGAAATCAGTGCCTAGTTTTGTGGGCATGATCCTGGAACTCCTGCTGGATGGGTTGGTGCATTTCCTCTTCCCCTTCCCCATGTGCAGCAGTCCGTCTCTATTCATTCAGAGAATGCACCATCATTTCTCTCCAGCGCCTTACACTCACTCCATCTTTGCCGCTGTACCCACTACCATTCTCACTAATGCATGTAACATCTTCCCCACTCACCCCAACTGTGACACCACTAATGCGGCATGCCCTCTGCACTGCCTGCTCATTTGATCTGGAAACCTCCATGCCTGCACCAACAATAACAGCTGTGCCACCCAGTTTTATCTTCCGTAATATTCCCTCTCTCTCATTCCAATAGCAAAACAACGCACAATAGATTTAAATCTAAATTGAATGATTTATTGTCATTTGTATTTAACAAATAAGTCCAGTGAAAAGTGTAATATGTCGCCACATTCCAGTGCCGTTTTGAATTATAGAAAGCATTAAGATATAACTAAAATATTACTAAAAACAGAGTTCATCTTTTTCCCTTCTTGCGTTCAGACACCAGAGGAATGGTTCATGCCTATAATGTGCTCCAAGCTCTCACTATAATGGGCTCCAGGTTCTCACTATAACGGGCTCCAAGCTCTCACTATAACGGGCCCCAAGCACTCACCATATTGGGTTCCAGGTTCTGACTATAACAGGCTCCAGGCTCTCACTATAATAGGCTCCAAGCTCACACTATAATAGGCTCCAGGATCTCACTATAATAGGCTCCAAGCTCTCACTATAATGGGCTCCAGGTTCTCACTATAACGGGCTCCAGACTCTCACTATAACGGGCTCCAGGTTCTCACTATAACAGGCTCCAGACTCTCACTATAATGGGCTCCAGGTTCTCAATATAACAGGCCCCAGGCTCTCAATATAACAGGCCCCAGGCTCTCAATATAACAGGCCCCAGGCTCGCAATATAACAGGCTCCAGACTCTCACTATAACAGGCCCCAAGCTCTCACTATAACAGGCTCCAAGCTCTCACTATAACAGGCCCCAAGCTCTCACTATAATGGGCTCCAGGTTCTCACTATAATGGGCTCCAGGTTCTCACTATAACGGGCTCCAAGCTCTCACTATAATGGGCTCCAGGCTCTCACTATAACGGGCCCCAAGCTCTCACTATAACGGGCTCCAGGCTCTCACTATAACGGGCTCCAGGCTCTCACAATACTGGGTTCCAGGCTCTCACTATAACGGGATCCAGGCTGTCACAATAATGGGCTCCAGGTTCTGACTATAACAGGCTCCAGGCTCTCACTATAACAGGCTCCAAGCCCACAAAGATCCTGCATTAGTCAATTCCAGCAGTTACACTCCGGGGCCACTACTGCCACTGCAACCGCTGTATCATATCCGCCACCAGGAGTACTACACCGGTGATGCAACCTCCATTCCCGTCACGGCCAGGAGGACTGATTCGGGCCTACCACATGGCTGCAGCTGAAGCCCAACATCTCCAATTCCGATTCTGACCGCAGATGCCACCTGCTATATCGACGCCGCCACGAAGAAAAGAAGGCGAAGAGGAGAGAGAAAACAAAAGGAAAGAGAAAGTTGGATTCGGGTGGCCTGGTGGTCAGTAGCGGGTGGGCTCAGGAGCCCAAACGTTACCTACCCTGCCGTTGCCACCATATTGACCTTGAGAATAGTAAGAAAGAAAATTTTACCTGAGATCCTATAGACTAAGGCTCCTGTTCCCTGTGCTCTGATGTCACTATGACCAAAAGGCCAAAAACAGTCAAGGCAACTGGTGTGCTGCGCATCATTCGGTTCCTTGCCCCACTCTCCTAACTATCCCATGCATTGCTTGGACTGGTGTGGGAAGGCTGCTGTTGCCTTACTATGCTGGGATCCCTTGAGTGGAGACCTGCAATTGATGTTCACTTTAAGGCTGCTATTAGCCCACAGATGGATGTGCCTTGCAGTATCACCCTCACCGCTGGTACAATTGATAAGGGGGGGACAGGGGCTGTTGGATGGGGGTCTGGCAGGTTGCCTGTTGAATTCACATCCCTCCCCTCCCTAATTAAACCTACCAGAAGTGGGGTGTGGGGAGGTTTGGTGGAAAATTAAAGTTCTGAAGCTTTTTTGTGATCAACAACT